AAATTGAAAAGTTCTACTTCTTTCTTGATTTAAAGACGAATGAATTTATTGTGAGCTTTATGCGGGTTGACTTCTTGGTAACAAAACTATTTTGTCTATAGGGATTTTGGAATGATTATTCTCCGTGTTGGTAAGTATGACATGTTTCGATATTATGACAGAAGGTAATGCGTACAAATACTGAATCTCACTGCCTACAATAGGAACGAATTTATTAGCGTGAATAAATAAGCTTAATGTTCGATACCGAGAACGATCGAGTTCTATGTGTCTGTTTGAATGTAATTTATTGTCGTGAGGAGGAGGTTTCTTCCCTTATTATTACCCCGAGAAATATCGTGTTCACTTGTGTTAAAGTAATTTATTAGCGTGAAAGTGTATTTCCTTATAACACGAGGATTAACGTGTACACTACAGCATGTTGAATGCACATAATTTATTAGCGTGATAGGAGGAGTTCCTTCTTCTAACACCCCTAATGAAAATTAAGTTCTGGGGCAGTATGAATAACGTCTAGTATGTTAATGTTATTTATTAGCGTGAATGAAGGAGTACCATCATTTTGGTCTGAATATTCTTGCTGGGTTGGTTTGCCAAAGGGCTTTCAGCATTTTGCCATCTTCAGTAGTGAATCAGAGTGACGGAAGATGATATAAATTCTGAATCTTATTGTCTACGATAAAAACGAATTTATTAGCCTTAGCGTAGAAGTTTCTTCCTATATCGTCCCGAAGACTATCGAAAATTCCGGGCAGTTGAATGCAATATATTAGCGTGAAAGTAGTTTTCCTTATAACGTGGATTAACGACTACACTACGGCATGGTGAATGTGCATAATTTATTATCGTGATTGGAGTTCCTTCCTCTAACACTCCTAATGAAAATTAAGTTCTGGGGCAGTATGAATAAAGTCTAGTATGTGAATGTTATTTATTAGCGTGAATGAAGGAGAACCATAATGTAGTGTGGTATGTGAATGTAATTTATTAGCGTGAATAGAAATATCTATTCCTCTTTAAACTTTGGTGCTGTGTGATTAGCGTAAAGGTAGGAGTTTTTCCGCAATAACCTAAGAAATATAAAGTATTCCGGGAGAATGTAAATGAATCATAGTGGGCGAATGTAATTTATTAGCGTGAAAGTAGTTTTCCTTATAACGAGGATTAACGAGTACACTACGGCGTGGTGAATGTACATAATTTATTAGCGTGATAGGAGGAGTTGCTTCTTTTAACACCCCTAATGAAAATTAAGTTCTGGGGCAGTATGAATAAAGTCTAGTATGTGAATGTTATTTATTAGCGTGAATGAAAGAGTACCATCATTTTGGTCTGAATATTCTTGCTGGGTTGGTTTGCCAAAGGGGTTTCAGTATTTTGCCATCTTCAGTAGTGAATCTGAGTGACGGAAGATGATAAAAAGTCGGAATCTTATTGCCTACGATAAAAACGAATTTATTAGCCTTACCGTAGAAGTTTCTTCCTACATCGTCCCGAAGACTATCGAGAATTCCGGGCAGTTGAATGTAATTTATTAGCGTGAAAGTAGTTTTTCTTATAACGAGGATTAATGAGTACACTACGGCATGGTGAATGTACATAATTTATTAGCGTGATAGGAGGAGTTTCTTCCTCTAACACCCTAATGAAAATTAAGTTCTGGGGCAGTATGAATAAAGTCTAGTATGTGAATGTTATTTATTAGCGTGAATGAAGGAGTACCATAATTTAGTGTGGTATGTGAACGTAATTTATTAGCGTGAATAGAAATATTTATTCCTCTTTAACTTTGGTGCTGTGTGATTAGCGTAAAGGTAGGAGTTTTTCCGCAATAACCTAAGAAATATCAAGTATTCCGGAAGAATGTAAATGAAGCATAGTAGGCGAATATAATTTATTAGCGTGAAAGTATATTACCTTATAAGATGAGGATTAACGCGTACACTACGGCATAGTGAATGTACATAATTTATTAGCGTGATTGGAGGAGTTTCTTCCTTTAACACCCTAATGAATATCAAGTTCTGGGGCAGTATGAATAAAGTCTAGTATGTGAATGTTATTTATTAGCGTGAATGAAGGGGTACCATCATGTTGGTCTGAATATTCTTGCTGGGTTGGTTTGTCAAATGGTTTTCGGCATTTTGCCATCTTCAGTAGTGAATCTGAGTGACGGAAGATGATATAAAGTCGGAATCTTATTGCCTACGATAAAACCGAATTTATTAGCCTGTAATGGATCTTTCTCAAACAAGGAATTTGGTAATTAAAATGGGTTTATAACAGAAATGTTTTATTGGAAATAAACAAACAGGAAAAAACGAAATTATAAAAAATCAATAAAAGAACTTGAAAGTTCTTAGCTTAAATTTTCTTTCTTGAACTCAGTCCCTTCTTCAAGATGTTTTCCTTTTCTTTAATCTTCAAGGTGTTTTCATCTTCTTCAAGATGCCTTTTTTTCTTTTCTTCGATTACAGTCGCCACGTGCAAGCCGATCAAAAAACCAAAATTTCCCTCCACTCAAAAAAAAACTACCAAACCTTCCTTACTTATCCCCTCTCTCAGAGTATCCTTCCCGCGCTCTTCAAAAAGCTCGCCTCGTATTCCCTATTATCGTGGCTTGTTTGTTATAAGCCTTAGCGTAGAAGTCTCTTCCTATATCGTCCCGAAGACTATCGAGAATTCTGGGCAGTTGAATGTAATTTATTATCGTGAAAGTAGTTTTCCTTATAACGAGGATTAACGAGTCCACTACGGCATGGTGAATGTATATAATTTATTAGCGTGATTGGAAGAGTTCCTTCCTCTAACACTCCTAATGAAAATTAAGTTCTGGGGTAGTATGGATAAAGTCTAGTATGTGAATGTTATTTATTAGCGTGAATGAAGGAGTACCATAATTTAGTGTGGTATGTGAATGTAATTTATTAGCGTGAATAGAAATATCTATTCCTCTTTAAACTTTGGTGCTGTGTGATTAGCGTAAAGGTAGGAGTTTTTCCGCAATAACCTAAGAAATATAAAGTATTCCGGGAGAATATAAATGAAGCATAGTAGGCGAATATAATTTATTAGCGTGAAAGTAGTTTTCCTTATAAGATGAGGATTAACGCGTACACTACAGCATGTTGAATGCACATAATTTATTAGCGTGATAGGAGGAGTTCCTTCTTCTAACACCCCTAATGAAAATTAAGTTCTCGGGCAGTATGAATAAAGTCTAGTATGTGAATATTATTTATTAGCGTGAATGAAGGAGTACTCATCATTTTGGTCTGAATATTCTTGCTGGGTTGGTATGTCAAAAGGGTTTTAGCATTTTGCCATCTTCAGTAGTGAATCTGAGTGACGGAAGATGATATAAATTCTGAATCTTATGTTCTACGATAAAAACAAATTTATTAGCCTTGACGTAGAAGTTTTTTACTCTATCGTCCCGAAGATTATCAAGAATTCTGAGCTGTGTGAATGTAATTTATTAGCGTGAAAGAAGGATTTTCTTCCTCTAACACTCTAAAGTGTATACAATATTCTGGGTTTGTGACTTTAGTGTGGTGTGTGAACGTAATTTATTAGCGTAAATGTAGGAGTTTTTCCCCCAATAACCCTAAGGAATATCAAGTATTATGGGATGTAAATAAAGCCTAGTTGGTGAATTTAATTTATTAGCGTGAATAGAAAGGTTTCTTCCTTTATCATCTCGAGGAATATCGAGAACTCCAGGGTTGGGCGAATGAAATTTAATAGCTCACATTGAAAGGATTATTTCCCTTTTATCTCAAAGATTATCGATTACTCTGAGGTTGTATGAATGTAATTTATTTATTAGCGCGAATGCAGAGCTTTCTTCCTCTACTGTTTCAAAGAATTTCGAGTGCTCTAGGACAATGATAATGAAGCCTAGTGAGGGAATGTAATTCATTAGCGTGAATAGAAAAGTTTCTTCCTTTATCATCTCGAGGAATATCGAGAACTCCAAGACTGGGTGAATACTCTGAGGTTGTATGAATGTAATTTATTTATTAGCGGGAATGCAGAGCTTTCTTCCTATACCGTTTCGAAGAATATCGAATGCTCTAGAACAATGAGAATGAAGCATAGTCAATTTAATTGTTTGGAGTGAATGGTGGGATTCCATCCTACACTCTGAGAAACTTGGAATATTTGGAAATGTTTGTACATCATTTTTTATCTGAAAACAAAAAGATGTTTATAGCATATTTAAGTCAGACTTGGGGATTATTGACTAAAAATTAGTTGAACTAAACTCTCAACTAAAACCTAACAGTTGCCAAGTAGTTGCAACTAAATTTTTCAACTAAAGTAATTGACAGTTTTTAGTTTGAAATTATGATTACAAACTATTGGTTTAGTTGACCTTTCAGGTTCAACTAAGTAATTTAGTTTTAGTTCTATTTGAATTTTATTTTTTTCCCAACTCTGATTTAAATTGTGATTTTTAATGTAATAAAGTATATTGCATTTTTTGGGTCTAAACAAATTTAAAAAAATATCTAATTTATTTTAAAAAACAGACGTTACTAAGGACGTAATCATCATTATTTAAATTATTCAGCAAAGTGAATAATGCGAGAAATTGAATATTTAATTGCTTCTTAAGAACTCGAAATATATACTTTTTTAAATTTTATGCAGTAAGAAAAAATTACTTATTTAAGACCCCAAGCTGATTTTTTATAAGAAAAAAAGCGTCCAAGGGGAAAAACGTATTTATAACGCCTTGTACATATATTTAAAATTTTAATATTCTTGCATATTCATTTTTTTTCTTATCTGCCTCGTAAAAACCAGGGGGATATTGCCGAACATTAATCACAGATTTGAAAAGAGGGGTCTTTGGACATATATTTTATCGGCAACTTCATAAGGATTGAAATTGTCGGAATATAATTAATGGTCGCGTGATCATTGAAGGCCCGTGGTGTCGGGCGAGGCTCATGGAAAAAAAAGTGATTGATGAAATGATAATGACAACTTACTTGGATCCACGGCTCTTCCGGCAAGAAGCAGGAACGAGGAGAAGGCAAGCAACCGCAGCCAAATCTAAAAAAAATATCATTAATCTGACTATCAAAATTATACAATATTTAACCTATAGTTTAACAAATATTTTCAATGAAAAAAAAACCTAGAATTAACTCGTTAGTTACAAAATAGAATTTTTTTTATTTCAAGTTAATTCGTTCAGATTAGGTACAAGTATCAATCTTAAATATAATTTTCTAAAGAATAAAAATTAATTGTTTATCTTGATATAATTAATAACTGCCATTATTTTTGTTGTTGTTGAAAAATCATGAGTAAGGTTGATTTGAAAGAAAGAAACACTCGATTCGTCAAGCTTGTAAAGAATATAACCTTTTCATCAAGATTTCGAAACTATTTTTAATAATTAGTAATTTTTCAATTTAAACATAACCAATTCATCAAAAAATTGTATGTTTATTAATACTTTTGGAGCAATTTTATAAAAAAAAGCCTACGTCGACATATCAAGACGTGCTCTGATAACGAGGCATGACAGAACGTCGAAAACCCACATCAAACAACTGGTTATTGGGAAAAGGGCTCTTGCTTACTCCTTTGAGTCGTTTGACGTCAGTTTTCTCCTTGTATCTGAGGAATAAGCCTTTTCCTTCATTAAAACATTTTTTCCGTACCTGCCCTCGAACGACGAGAGAGATTTTTTCCAAAGATTAATTTTAGAAGGATCAACGTTGTACAGTTTAAAATTTTAAACTTTACTCGTCTAGTATACAATAAAAATTATTTATTCGGGTACGTTAATAAATATGCGATTTTATTTGAAGAGTATTATGAAAAGGCAAAATAAATTATGTTGTAATCCGCGATGTAACTACGCGATGCTTGCCGGGAATGTGGATGTTATTTATTAGCGCGAATGGTGGGGTTGTTTCCTATAACGCCGCGATGAATACCGTGCAATGTGGAGAAACTTGAATATAATTTGTCAGCATGAATGGAAATGTTACTTCTTAAATTATCCCAAGTAATATTGAGTAATGAAGACCTGTATAAATATAATTTATTAGCGCGGATAAAGCAGCTTATTTACCGATTAGAGTTTGAATGTAATTTATTAGAGTGAATAGAGGTTTTTCTTTCGAATTCAACCTAACGAATATCGTGTACTTTAAGGCTGTATAAATCTAATTTATTATTTATTTCTCACGATCTCCGAATAATCTAATTTTTTTTTTTTTTTATTGGCCTTATGATTTTTGCATATTAGCCATGACGAATTCTTATATGTTGTTCAATTGGGGTTTATCGGGGAAAAAAGGGCCAGAGGCGACGGTGGGAATCGAACCCACGACCGCTGCGTGAGAGTCTCTCATGCTAACCACTCGGCTACCGCGGTCCCCAATAATCTAATTTATTATTGTAAATAGAGGTTTCTTCTGAAATCAGTCGAAAGAATACCGTGTACCAAAGGGCTACGTGATTGGAGGGGATTCGTCGGTAATTATTCCAAAGAAAATCGAGTTATCCGGAGCTGTGTCAATGTCATTTATTTGTGGTGTGTGTGTGTGTGTGTGTGTGGTGTTTAGTGACCGTTAGTCAATGATTGTTCGGAGATCGTGAGATGCGGTCTGGTGTGATGTAGGTTTTAGAAAAACATTTTCTTTCGGAAAAAACTCATCCATTCACGCTAATAATTTAGAGATCATCTTCAGGGCTCAAAGTGTTTGTTTTGCGTATAGATGTGTCATTCTTGTGTGTCATGTTGACAGTGAGTTAATTAGAAATTTAATAGCGGGAATGCAGGAGTTTTTGCCGAAATCACGCCAAATAAAATCGTGTACTCTTGAACTGTGTGAATGTAATCTATTTGCGGGAATAGAGGAGTTTCTTCCGAAATCAATCGAAAAAATTCCGTTTATTAAGGGGCTATGTGATTTGAGAGGATTCTTCTATAATTACTCCAAAGAATATCCAGCTATCCAGAGCTGTGTCCATGTAATTTTTTAGTGTGAATGGAGGAATTATTTCAGAAATCACGCCAACGAATATCATGCACGTTTGTGATATGTGAATGTAATTATTAGCATGAATGGAGGGGTTTCTTCCGAAATCACGTCAACGAATATCGTGTACTCTTGAACTGAGTGAATGTAATTTATTAGCGTGAATAGATCATCTTATCTACCGATTAGAGTTTGAATGTTATTTATTAGAGTGAATGTAGGTTTTTCTTCCAAAATCAGTCCAACGAATATTGTATACTTTAGGGCTGTACAAATCTAATTTATTATTTATTTCACGATCTCCGAATAATATAATTTATTAGCGAGAACGGAGGAGTTTTCCGAAATTACGCCAACGAATATCTCGTACTCTTGAACTGTGCGAATGTAATTTATTAGCGGGAATGGAGGAATTATTTCTTAAATCACGCCAACGAATATCGTGTCGAAGGGGCTATGTGATTGGAGGGTATCCATCTGTAATTATTCCAAAGAATATCGAGTTCTCCACGGCTGTCTCAATGTAATTTATTAGCGTGAATGCAGGAGTGTTTTCCGAAATCGCACCAACGAATATCGTGTACTCTTGAACTGTGCGAATGGAGGTTTTTCTTTCGATATAAGTCCAACGAATATCGTGTACTATGGGGGTGTGTGAATCTAATTTATTAGCGTGAATGGAGGAGTTTCTTCCAAAATCAGTTATTCAAAAATACCCTGTATTACGAGGCTATGTGATTTGAGGGGATTGGTCTCTAATTACTCTAAACAATATCGAGTTATCCAGAGCTGTGTCAATGTAATTTATTAGCGTGAATGGAGGAGTTTTTCCGAAATCACGCCAACGAATATTATATTGTAATCCTTAACTCGCGATGCTTGCCAGGAGTGGGGATGTCATTTATTAGCGCGAATGGTGGGATTTCTTCCTATAACACCGCGAGGTGTACTGTGGAGAAATCTGAATATAACTCATCAGCATAAATAGAAACGTTACTTCTTAAATTATCCCAAGTAATATTGAGTAATGAAAATCTGTATAAATGTATAAATATAATTTATTTGCGTCAATAGAGCACCTTATTTACCGATTAGAGTGCGAATGTAATTTATTAGCGCGAATGGAGATTTTTGTCTCGAAATAAGTCCAACGAATATCGTGAATTATAGGGCTATGTGAATCTTATTTATTAGCGTGAATGGAGGAATTATTTCCGAAATTACGTCAATGAATATCATGTATGCTTGTGATGTGTGAATGTAATTTATTTGCGTGAATGGAGGGTTTTTTCCGAAATCAGCCTAACAAATATTAGGCTATGTACATGCAGTTTTGAAAAGGCAATCAACTTTATACCTTAATAATATAATTAGTATACAAATTATCATTAACATTCTAAATCAAACGCTACTAATGTTTGTGATAGTCTTGAAATTTATAGTTTTTCTACATTTTAAAAAGATGAGTTAAAAAAAGAAAATCTTTTTATTTAAGAATGGAACGAAAATATAAAAAGAGAAAGAAAAAAGAGGGACAATTTAAAGAAAATTAAGGTAGGGAAATAAGCTACTGATATTTAAAAGATTGAGGTCGATTTGGATCGAGTCGCCCGCAAGGATTTAGGAAGTCTACTCCATTAACAGAAAACTTAATCAGAAAAGGGAAAAACTGAGATGTCACAAGGGTTTGACATTTTTCTTCGGTGTTAATCCGTTCCTCTCCCGGAGGGAAAAAACTCTTTTAAGTCATTGGCCAAGACAAATTTTCAAACTTGGGCAACTCGTCTAAAGTGGGCAACTTTTAATAGTAGTCGATGACGATTTAAATTGCGTGGTTGGGTTGTTAAACTGTTAAAATGGTTTAGAATTACGCTTATGTTTATGAGAAAATGGAGTTATCACTTCTCGGTTCATGTCGATTCAGGTTTTTTCCATTTCTATAGAAAATCTGCTTTACTTTATCATAATAAAACTAAAAGACTAAAGGCTATAGAAGAAAGACACAATACGGAAATGAAACTTCCGCCTGGAAATAAGGTCAATATAACGGTTCCGATAAAAGGTTTTTATCTTCGTCAAAACTCGTAAAAATATTTTAAATGGTTTTTACCAGTGGGAAAAAATGCTCTTTTTTATGGATAAACTGAAAATAGTATTTTTATCAATTCAAGTAAATATTTATATTTTTGACAAGAAAATTATATTAAATTATTCCAAAAGTGAAAACTTTTTAGAAAAGGTATTTATATAAAAAAAACTAAAATTAAAAGAATGCCCATGAAAACTAAAATAATAATTGAGTTATCGTGTCGGGGTTTTCAATCGAATCGATTCGAATACGTTCAATTATGATGTTTTCAACGTTTCAACGATTTTAATATCTAATATTTGCCTTACAAATAAAGTTATGATATAAATTTTCCGTGAGGTCTCCACCGGGCATTTGTAGCATAAATTTCTTAACTTTCAATTTTGTGGAAGCGGTTCTCGGTTGGGTCAATTTACAAAAGCGAACGGCTTTTTCTTATAAAAAAATAATAATTTTGGCAGATTTGTTTCGGTATGAAGGCTCTTTGTTCCGTTGTGGATGTTAAAATTATGCCGGGCATAACATAAGAATGAAATTAGAAAAAAAATTTTGCTGCTCCTCCAAATGTACAAAAAATCTAGATTTCCAAATCGTAAGTTTTGAGATGAAAATATATTTTTTAATCAATTAATATAGGTTTTAAGTTGAGATAAAAAAGGCAGTGTCACGAGAAAGATTCGAACCCACGACCTTCGGCTTGATACGCCGCTACTCTACCACTTGAGCTATCGTGACTTTGATCCACTCAGACACTAACTTCCCATCTCAACCCCACCTTTTTTTAGTTTTCCCTCCTTTTTGCCATTTTTCAAATGTCGTGTAATCTATTTGATTCTCGGCGACAAGTGAAATGGCCCCGGAGATCTTTAGTGAAGTATACTTCATTTTAATTAATTAAATTCATATTTTTCGTGGTCCGCTTGATAATTAATTAAGATTTTAATAGGGGAAGTTAGTGCCAGAAG